GAGGAGAAGCAGGTTCAGTTCACTCATTGCCACTATATTGCACTGTATAACATAGACGTTTAAGGCTGAACCAGCTGTGGTCACAACTGCTTCCCCAGCTCCTTCGACATCTTCCGCCCCTGGACCATCAAATTCCCAGCAGCAGCAGCAATCTGCCGCGATGGCTCAGCTTGGGCTGAATGAACTCATCATTCTAGCCAGCCTACCACCTGGTATGTTACCTCTTTATCCCGATTTTGGGAAAACATTTTGTTTCCAGGATTTTTTACTGTTATCAATTTAGGATTTTTACAGCTCTTTATCCTGTTGTCTTTCAGATACGAGGATCCCGGTCCAAAATCTTCAGACTAAGGAACGGCTGTTGGGTGAATCGGCACCAAAGCTGAAAAACCTCAGTGTATGGTTAACATCGCATCCTCACCACACTCTAGATCTCGCCAGTTTAGGTAGAGTTCAACATTTGCCCTGAAGGGTTTCGCTGATAAGGTTCTGTGGTGCAGCAGTAGAAATTAGAATTCTTACAGGGAAGGAACCACCAACATCCGTTCCAACTCCAGTGGTCACATCTGCAGCGGGTGATTCCGCCCCATCGAGCGCAAAACCATCAGCTCCTCCTACTCCGAAGCCATCCACTCCGAAACCACTTAGCGCAGCTACCACTCCTGCACCTAGCTCAAAGCCAGTGAGTGCGGCACCTACACCAGCACCGCTCACCCCGAAGCCGGAAACCAGTCCACGTCTCGAGCCTGGTGAGATCCCTAAAAAAGCATCAAATGCGGGGGTTTCTGCCACAACAAGTGCTGGAGATGGCCCGGTGTCGGTGTTTAGTAGGTAGGTATATTTATACTCATCTTTTTTTTGTTCAGGGAAGTATCTCGTCCATTTCAGGTTGACAGGAGCTTTACTCCCTGCCTCGAAATGGCCAACTTTGAGCAAATTGGCCTCGTGGCTTGATGCGCACCCCGAAGCAAATGTTCATAGCAGTAGTGTTCCTGTTGCTCAGGTCAGTAAAATAATATCCATGGCGCATTTCGGCTTGGTAGGGGCACCGTAATCTGCCCAGCGAGGTTCGTACAGGCCACCTCGTGAGGACCTGTGAATTCCTGTTGCTAGAGTGACTCACTTCTAATGTTTCAGACCACAAGAGTTTACAGGTCTCACTAAAGTAGGACCAGTAAGTTAACATGAACTAAAGTAGGAATTAGCGAAAGTGCAAGATGCCCCTCTCAAGCCGAAAAGCGCCTGTTTTTTATGGTTATTCGGTATAGTTATAGAATTCGTTTCAGTTGGTAGTTGGAATGTCACATCCTGAACGGCTTGGTGGTGATCCTGTTGCCATTGCAAGTGCCGCTGGAGCGGCTTCGTCAGCAGCAGCAAAATCGGTCCGAC